ATATATATATATAACATAAAAATATGCCAGGCATGTTATACATGTTGTGGTATCTAGGTGAAAGGAAAATAGAGTTATAGTTTGATTAAACAAGTACCTTTCCTTACCTGAGCTATGTTGGAACTTGTAATTAAAATAGGGCATGTATAAAACACTAGAAAAAAGGCCATTTCCCTGGATTAGAAGAAATAATCATTCTTACAGAGTGAAATTTCAAAATATTAGAAATTCTTGAAAATTACACTTAGTGACAAAATAAGGTGTCTGCATGCTTTCTGGAACTGTTATAGAAAGGCACGTGCAGTAGTTTGAAAGCACTGCATTTTATCATAAAGCACTCTCACAAAATTGAAGTCATTGTAGTCAAGGCTTTTAGATACAGGCTGTGGTTTCATAAATAACCAGGAACCTTCAATTGAAATTAAACTTGGTAATGGTGACAATGAAGATGGAGGGATGTTTGAAAATTTATTTTCATTGTTTTCCTGACTGGCCTTGTTATGATCAGAACCTAAGTTTGTGAAAGAATAAGCAGAAAACATTGGACTCTAATGGGAAAATATATATTGTATGTAACTGGATTAAAAATTAATAGAAGTTTGAATTTAAAGCTGAATGTTAATACTAAAATTAATAGCACTCCAGAATATAAATTCTGAGGACATTTTATTTTCTTTCTAATTCCTGACCATGAGTACAGTTGATTCATTCAAATTCACTAACTTTCATATTTAGATTAAGTAGCTCCAAAGATTGTGGTGACTATTTTCACAAAAGTATCACCCGCAATATTACTTTAACCATTATTGTGTCCAGTGTGCATTTTCACATGCATTTTCTACTTTAAACACTTAAATTCACAGCATGGACTTTGCACGACAAATGGTTGTGAGGTGGGAAAGGATGACAGAGCTTTACATTCTCCTAACCGAATCCCTTCCATTGTGCTGAGGTTTTCTGGATTTATTACATGAAAAGCATACATTTAACACACCGTAGAGCATTTCTGGAGTTGAATAAAAGAATATATAATAATTTATCCACATTATACTGAGATGTGGGGAAACGAAATGTCCCGATGCTCCATAATATTAATAAAAACTGACAATAGAGTGAAGAGCTCTGAGTAGGGATAAATTGGGCAGGATATGTGGTCAGGAATCCACTCAATCAAATGACAGGTCATGCAAGAAGTACTGCGAATTTGGGGATAAGTGATATAGGGCAGATAATTGGTTTTCTTCATATTAAATTTATTCTATGACAAATCCATAAAACATAAAGCTGTACGTATTACTGTGGTAATCCCAGGGGAAGTTTCAGTACACATATGCATTATATAGTTTTTAAATCAGGATACATATATCAATCCCTTAAAACATCATTTTCTTTGCTAAAAACATTCAAAATCCTTTCTTTTAACTTTTGAGGTGTCCTGGACATTATTGTTTATCCATAGTCACCCTGCTCATGGCTGTTCTTGCTCTGATCTAAATGTACCTTGGTATCTGATGCTGAACTTTTCCCATCTCTCTTTCCTCTCTGCCTCCTGTAACTGCTGCTCCATTCTGAGCTGTCAGAAGGTGAAAACTTCAGATTCAACACACGAGTGATATCATACATCGTTCATCAAATAATCTCCAACTCTATGCGTTTGGTTTCAAATGAAAGGATCACATTCACATTATTTTTTAGACCTCAATAGTATTCTATTATTACTGTATTTTCTTTACCTACTCATCAGCTGAAGGATATTAGTCACTTCCATACAGGGCTTCTGTGAATGGTGTTCCAATCAACACAAGAGTGGAGACATCTTCTCAACACATTGATTCTATTTCCTTTGGATAAACTCAATAGTTAGATTACTAGACCATAAGGTAGTGGGGTTTGTAATTTTTTTCAAGAACATTACTACTGTTTTATAACAGGGCTGTACTCATTTCCATTCTCACTCACATTATGGTCACTTTCCTCTTTCTCTATTTCTTGTCAACATTTGTTGTGTTTTTACAATAACCATTCTGAGGTAATATATCAGGATTTTGGTTTGCATTTCCCCAACAATAAGTGATGTTTGACAACTTTTCGTAGATTTGTACATCTTCTTTTGAGTGAGGTCTATTAAGTTTATTGCTCAGTTTTCAAAAAGATTATCGCCTTTCTCAATATTGAGTATTTCTGTTCCTTGTGTACGGCTGGTAATAAGCCCTTGCCAGAAATGTACTCTGCAAATATTTTAACTCATTCCATAGGTCACATCTTCACTCTCTGGTGTGATTTGTTTGCTGTATACATGAGTTTTAGTTTGATGTCATTTTTGCTCTTCTTTCTTGTGCTTCTGTGTGCTTGTTCAAAGCATCCTTTCATATTCCAATATCCTGAAGCAATTCCTTTGTTTTTTTCTAGTAGTTTCAGGTCTTACATTGAAGTTACTAATCCATTTTTACTTAATTGTTGTTTTGGTGTTTTTTTTTTGTACCAGGGATCAAACATGGGACCTTGTGCTTACGAGACAGGCACTGGAACCACTGAGCTAAATCCCTGGCCCTTGACTTAAATTTAACACAGTAGGAAGGCATCTAGTCTTATTAGTCCGTATGTGGATTTCTCATTCCAGGCAATTATTGAGAAGATTTCTCCTTCCCCATACATGTTGGAAATCAATTGTTTTGGGGTGTTTGGGTTTGCTTTTATTCTATTTTGTCAGAGTGGACTTTTTGTCAGTTTTTCTAATACAATGTTCTTTTGATAACTAAAGTATTGCAGTATATTTTGAAATTAGGTAGCATAATGTTTTATTCTTCAGCTTGAGATTGTTTGACTATTATTGAACTCCTTCTAGTTCCATAAAATTATTATTTTCCTGGTATTGGGAAGAATGTCATTGATATTTTGATAGGGTCTGCATTGAATCTGTAAATTACTCTGGGTAGAATGGACATTTTAACAACATTAATATTTCCAGTCCATAAATATGAAATAGCTTTCTTTGTGTGTATATGTGTGTATATGATTTCTTCAATTTCTTTCATGAGTACATACAATATAGATTGCAGTAGGGGAATAATTCACTTCTTTGCTTCAACTTATCTCAATGTATATTATATGTAGTTCTTGTAAAATGGGCTGGTTTTCTTGATTTCAATTTCAGATAATTTGCTATTTGGTGGTAGTAATTCCATTAAGCTTACCGATGTTATGTTAATCTGCTTTGTTAAAACCATTTACTGTCTTTTCTTGGTGGAATGTTTGAAGTTTTGCTGTTATATATTCAAATTCATATCTATATACATATACATATATATTCATCTCCAACTATGAAATTAAGCCTTCTTGTCTAGTCCTAGATCTTAGATCTTAGAAATTAAGCTTTCATGTTTTCCCCGTTCAGTATAATGCTAGCTGTTGGTTCATTATACATAGTCTTATTCCTTGAGGTATGTTCATGCTATACCTAATTTATTCAGGGTTTTCTGTGATGAAGATATGTTAAATTTTGCCAAATGCCTTTTCTGCTCCTATTGAGATTATGACGTTCTTTTATAATTCATTCTGTTGATTTGATGCTTTGTGAGTATTGATTTGCATATGTTTAACTATCCTTACATCTCTGGTATGAATCCCACTTGATCATGGTCAATATAAGTTTATTGTGCTATAGGGTTCAATTTACTAATATTTTTATGAAGATATGCATGTGTATGTTCATCAAAGATATTAGCTCATAGTGTCCTCTTGTGTGATTGTCTGGTTTTACTAATGGAGTAATGATGACTTCATTTGATATTTTTGGAAAAATTTCCTTCTTGGTAATTTGGAATGTTTAATGCAATATGTGCTGAAAACAGATAAAATCAGGAGCAGAAGATAAATAATATAAAAATATAAGAATATCTTCAAATATTTCCTTAGGCAATCATTTTATAATAATGAGCAGTTGAGCTTTTTGAATTAGCATATAGTATATTTGCAACAAAAATGTTATCAGTGGAAATTTTTGAGATGGGTTAAAAATTTTTTTATGAATCCTTCACATAGGATATTTCTAGAAGGGAAAATATTTGATATATCAACACAGAATTGTGAACACCTGACTCAATTTATCTTCCTCTAATAATGTTCTTTTATTTATGTATTAAATGCACTAAATCTCCTGAAAGAATCTCCTGACATGACCCTATGAACCCAACTTTCCGTTCAATGTTTGTGTAATTTTGCTGCATGGCTTTGTTATTACATGACTATATTTTATTATGGAGGTTTGCAGATATCACATGTATTTATGCATAATTGATATGAAATAGTCCTAAGTCCTGGATGTATGAATGAGTTCCATTCCGGGAGAATATTCATAAGTTGGATTCATTCATAAGTCCAACAATGTGATTCTTAAACATCTCTGACACAAATATATAAGGTAAAGCATAAAAAAGAAAGCACACATACAAATGCAGTAAGTTCCTGACTGTACTGTACTGCTGTGCACTATTGCATTGCATAGTGAGCAGAACATACCACCACAACTGGGACAAAGTCCTGCAGACAATGAGCTACCTCCTTGATTTGTTCATGTCTAGAAAGGGTCATAACACCAAGTCCGTTCTTATCTGTGAAAGTTCGTGACTGGAATGTTTGTAAGTCCGGGATTCACTGTGCTATATTTTTATTCCAGATTTTAAAAACTACAGTACTGAAGAATGAAGTTATTTGCCCATGTTGAAAACTCCAGAGACAGAGCATTCACATTCAGAACTCCTGAGACAGAACATCACATTGGTGATGGGAAACTGACCATAACCAACTCCACTGATCTATGTTCAGCCTCACTGGAGCTTCTGCCAAAGCACCTATCATTTCTAACTCAAATTTATTTCAATTTTGCTGCTTCCATCCTTTTTCATTTTATAAAAACTTAAAGTATCATGCTGCTTGATTTGGGAAACCAGAGCTCTGTGACTTCGTTCATCCTAGTGGGGTTCTCAGATTACCCCCAGCTCCAAGTGCCCCTCTTCCTGGTGTTCCTGATCACCTATACGGTCACTCTGGTGGGAAACTTGGGCATAATTGCTGTCATCAGGATCAATGCAAAACTTCACACACCTATGTACTTTTTTCTCCGCCATCTTTCCCTTTTAGATATTTGCTATTCCACTGTATTTACACCCAAACTCTTAGAGATTTTAATTGTGGAAGAAAGAACGATCTCCTTCAAGGGATGCATGACACAGTTTTTCTTCATTTGCATGTTTGTGGTCACAGAGATGTTCATGTTGGCAGTGATGGCCTATGACCGGTTCATGGCTGTCTGTAACCCCTTGTTCTACACAGTGGCGATGTCTCCTAAGCTCTGTGCTCTCCTGGTAACAGGAAGTTACATGTGGGGTGCACTCTGCTCAGTGATACTCACATACTCCCTTTTGCAACTAACATACTGCCACTCTAAAGCCATCAACCACTTTGGCTGTGAGTATTCTGCAGTCATTTCTGTGTCCTGCTCGGACTCCACCTTCAGCAAGATGGCATCTCTAATGATATCTATACTGAGTGAGGCCTGCAGTCTCCTGATCACCCTCACCTCCTATGTGGTCATCGTGGTGACTATCATCAGGATGCCCTCCAAGGGTGGACTCCAAAAAGCCTTCTCCACCTGCACCTCCCACCTGACCGCCATCAGCATCTTCCATGGCATGATCCTCCTCCTCTACTGTATACCCAGCTCCAAGAGCTCCTGGCTTCTGGTCAAAGTGGCCACTGTGCTTTTCACAGTCCTGATCCCCATGCTGAACCCCCTCATCTACAGCCTCAGGAACAAGGATGTGAAAGACACAGTCAGGAGGTTAATCAACTCCAGACTGCATTCCCATTCACAATAAATAAATAAAATTTTCTTTTGGTCTTAAAATTATCTAATTTTATGTACTTTATATTTAAGTGAATAAATATGCTTAAGATAATTAAATATTGAATTTGCCATTGTTTCAGTGTTTGGAATAGTATACTGTTGTCTTTGGTTTGATTCAAGTATAATTCATTTTATGTGAGGAGTTCCTGACAGTAATATACCTCAGTGTTTTCCCCAGACACTCTGGAATTGAGACTGAAGAAGAAACCTGTACAGAGGAACTCGCTTTGTACCTTGTGGCTTTATTTTAGGTTTTGCTTACTGAAAGCACTGCAATCATAGATGACAGCTGTCCTTAGCAAATCCATACTGCAGTCCTTGGATCTCTTTTGACTCAGAGAGTTCTTACAGTGCATTCTCTTTTCATTTTCACAGTACAATTCAAGTGCAATGAGGACCTCAGGTAAACATTATGAAAATATCATCTGCCTTTTAGCAAACAGTTAGTGAAAATATTAGCAACTTTCGGTATGCTTTACTTGTTATTTGCCTGTGAACATGACATATTATGTTTAAATAAATGGTGTTGAAATGATGTTGATACCAACAAAAAGTTTCAACTAATTTCTAAAAATACTTATATCCATTATTCACTGACACAAGACCATAATTGTTAAATTGTGCCTTTTCACATGCATTTTCACAATAAACTTATCTACTTCTTATCTGTGAATAACATCTACTTTTACTTAGGTGCTTTATATATTTAGACATAGGACATCCTCTTCCCTAACCTCTCACAAATGTCTATCATTAAATCATACTGTTTTCATCTCTAAAATAGACCACTTCTCCATGCTTCTGCTCTCTGAGCTATCATTAGAGGTTGATTGCTAGTAGTTTACTAGTTAATACAAAACTAACCTACCACATTTAAAAAGGAAAACAGTTATAAAAATAACAAAATTTATAAACAATTATAGATTATCTTTTTTGGATAATGATCCGGAGGTCCTATTCACAAGTGCAAAATACATTCCACAAACAATGGGGCATGAAAACTTTATACAAGAATGGAGATGGTTGAAAAATGGAACTGGTTATTAGATAGAGCAAACACAGTTTCCAAAGTATTTATTTCATTTCTTTGAAGTATTTGCCACTGCTGCATATTTTTAACTACTACCGTTTTGAAATATATCGTGATATGGATTTGAAAATTACTGCCATCCCTTACTTCCTGGTTGGTCCTGCTATTCCACGGCCCTTGCATGATCATAAATTTTTTCAAATTTATTTTATCTCTTCAACACTTGTAAGTATTTTGTCTCTCATGTGATTTTAAAATTGTAGGTTTTTCTTCTCACCTTGTAGGTTCTTATGTATTCCTATGGATGCAAGTTAAATCTGATAGATAAAATAAGGAAAGTTGAAAATAGTATTCTGCAATAAACACTAAACACTTATATTTTGATGTTACCTACACTGCTTCTGAATTCCCTCTATTACATTAAGGTACTCATAATTTCATTGGTTATAGAATTTTTTTACTTGTGTTGTTATTGACTTCTAAACACAATAGCTCCTGAAATTATTTGTATCGTCACATATCTTCATGCCTGGCTCCAATTAGTATTTCAGGGTGTTTGAAGAAACATTTTTGATTGCTAACTATTACAAAGAAATTGTTCTGATATTTTCCAAGTCTGAGTTCTCAGGGTTTCATCATTTCCATCTAATTTTATATCTCCTTTTGTCTTCTATCAAACTCCATGAGGATAGGGTCAAATTTTGTATCCTAAATTAATAAAATATTTTTTCATTTCTGAAAGTATTTATTTTTTAAATATTGAGACTGGATCCATATATTCTTCTTTTAATGTATTTCTAGTCAAGCCTCTTCAAAAATAACATATCTTCTTAAAAAGATTTTCTGCTTTCTTCAACAATGTTTAAATCTTTTCTTCTACTGTTTCATGCTGCTTAATTTGGGAAACCAGAGCTCTGTGCCCTTGTTCTTCCTGGTGGGGTTCTCAGATTACTCCAGCTCCAGGCGCCCTCTTCCTGGTGTCCCTGACTATCTACAAGGTCACTCTGCTGGGGAACTCAGCATAATTGTGGTCAGGAAACTCAATCCCAAACTTCACATGCCCATGTACTTTTTCCTTAGCCATCTTTCCTTTTCTGATACTTGTTATTCCAGTGTGTTTACACCCAAACTCTTAGAGATCCTGGTTGTGGAGGAGAGAACAATCCCCTTCAGAGAGTGCAGGCCACAGGTTTTTTTTTGGCCATGCCTCTGTGATCGCGGAGATGCTCATGTTGGCAGTGATGGCCTCTGACCGGTTCATGGCTGTCTGTAACCCCCTGCTCTACACAGTGGCGATGTTTCCTAAGCTCTGTGCTCTCGAGGTGGCAGGAACTTACACGTAGGGTGCACTCTGCTCCATGACAATCACGTATTCCCTTGTGCAGCTGTCCTACTGCGAGTCTAGCATCATCAACCACTTCAGCTGTGAGTACTCCACTGTCCTGGCTGTGTCTGGCTCCGACCCCTCCTTCAGCCAGATGATGTGTTTAATAATTTCTATACTGAGTGAGGCCTGAAGCCTCCTGATCACCCTCATCTCCTCTGTGGTCTTCGTGGTGACTATCATCAGGATGTCCTCCATGGGTGGACTTCAAAAAGCCTTCTCCACTTCCACCTCCCACCTGACCACCATCAGCATCTTCCATGGCATCCTCCTCCTCCTCTGCTGTGTGCCTAACTTCAAGAGCTCCTGGCTGCTGGTCAGAGTGGCCACTGTGCTTTGCACAGTCCTGATCCTCATGCTGAACCCCCTCACCTACAGCCTGAGGAACAAGGATGTGAAAAGACACGGTCAGGAGGCCAATCAACCCTAGATTGCATTCTCAGTCCATGTAATTCAAATAGATGCTTGCTTAATTATGTCTTAATCATATCTCATATTTTCATATACCTTATTGTTGATACTTTAGTTTTGAGTGAATTTTTTATTATACTATAACCAATTAAATTTTTTAATATGTGATGGTTTGCAGTGTTTAGAAAGAACTCATTTTTTCTCTGGCTTGATAACAGTATAATTAACTCATCCGTTTTGTCTGAATTTCTGAATTAATTGAATTTCAACATTTCCCCACTGGACACTATGGACACCATGAGGAAATGTGGATGTGGGAATTCACTCCTTACATTACAGTTCTACTCTAAGTTGTGCTTCATGAAAGTTCAAGGAACATAGACAATAGCCTGTACTGGATTCATACTGAAGACCACATATCTTGTAAGTTTACTCAGCAAATTTCAGAAAACACAAATTTCAGTTTATTATAATATAATATTTATAATAAAATGAGTTCCTGGCCCTTTATTATGAAAACTTGAACTGAATTTCAGCAAACCAAGTTTGAAAATATTAACTACTATCCATATGCATCACTCAAGTTTTTTCTTATATTTTAATAATAGCTTTTCAAATACTGCTGACATTCATGGGTAAAGTTCAGTTCACTTTCCATCATACTTATGCTAGTTATTTACTGATACAAGACCATAATCACTTAATTTTACCTTTTATCCCACATTCTTCTCATGAATTTATCTACTCCTTATCAGTAAGTGACCTGCATAGTTGTTTTAACATCCTCATAGTTGCTTTAACAAAGGAGAAACTGTTATATATAATCCATAGCTTCTCACAAGTATATCACTAAATCATACTGTTTAAATCTACAAAATTGGCTATTTCTTTGTGTTTCTGTTCAATGAGCCACATAATAATGTCGATCCAGAGCAGTTCATGAAAAAATTAAACTACTTTCCCATTTTCACTGAAATTCTGTAAGTAATCATGGATTATCCATTACATTTTTTAAAATGTAATATCTGTTTCTCTCCCTAAGTTATTATTGTTTCTATTTTATATATTTACATATATGTGAAAATAAACCTTGATGAAAAATGTGAATTTGACTAATCTTTGCTGTCATCACTTAAACTTTAAAATATATTTTAAAACATTTTCTGAATGAACATTTAACTTTCAAGTAAACCCAATAGATAGGAAATTTCTACCCTTCCAAAACCTAAGTATCACTTTCCTCCATCTATCAGCAATAGCCAAAATAAGATTTTTTTTATCATATTAATACACTTATTTATCTAATGAGTTTTCTAACCTGAAATATCCATCAGTAAATGCCACTTATTTCCTATTGACAAACTAATGGAATGAAATACTTCAGTGTTTATTTCACCTATCATATTTTATCAATTACCTATATGACTTTATTAAAGTTATATATATTTCATAGTGACATTAAAGTTGCTCCTGTTTAATATTTCATCATATAAGTATTCCAGATTCTTTTTATATCTTAGTCTCTTAGTATGATTATTTTAAATTACTAAACTTTGGGCATAGTGCACATAGGTATTGTTGGATCACCTGTGGGTATATTTATCTCTCAATTTTTCAAAATTGTTGTATTAATTTACACATCTAATAACAAAGTTTTAAAGTTCCAAAGTTATGATGTATTTCTTCCTCTTCAATACAATATTATCAGACCATGTTGCATTTACTTATTTTCTAATTGTAGAATATTTCACTGTAGCTTCAATTTTGATATTTATGATTATTGATTTAAGTCAACCTTTAGTGTGTTCATAAATTGTTTCTTTTGTGATAACTTTAGAAATTACTTTTGAA